TCTGTGTTTACAGATAGGAGAGGGGGCTGAGGGGGGTCTGTGTTTACAGATAGGAGAGGGGGCTGAGGGGGGGTCTGTGTTTACAGATAGGAGAGGGGGGCTGAGGGGGGGTCTGTGTTTAAGGCAACACAGAATAAATATAACTTGAAAACACCTCAACCCTGAGGGGATTCCTACTGCCATGTCACAGACAGTGGGGACAGCATGAATATCAACCCCCTATGTTCTATTTGGGGCATTTAGACACCTGGAAGTGGAAAAAAAGTTTCAGTACTTAATAGAGATCTGGTTTGTACAGCCCTACAACAAATCCCAGCTAGGGTGTTTTAATGACCATAGTTTTCATTCAGGGAAGGAGGCACTGAGGTCTCACTTCTGAGTTTGTGCCCACAGGGAGCTCTTACCCAGCGAGGCCAGGTTGCTGTAGTTCTCCAGCATCACCTCACGGTACAGGCTTCTCTGGGAGGGATCCAGCTTCTTCCACTCATCCCGAGTAAAGAGCACAGCCACGTCTTCAAATGTCACTGACACCTGCGGGGGGGGGGGGGGGCAAGCCATTCCATCTCAGCAGGCTCATACAGCACCAGGGAGGTGACAATGGAAGATGATAGGCCATCATAAAATGAGGTCACTGAGGGTTCTGAAGAGGCTAGGTCATCTACCACTTAGTCATCAATTCAAACGGTGACAGACACACAAAGAACAGCAGTGAGTAGGAGGCTCACTTCGTGTACAGGGATTATGGCCAATACTGCACATCATGGTAATTAGAAGTTCTTCTGGTAAAGGGTCTCTTGGGTTCTTTGTTTTGTTTTTGTTTTTGAGACAATCTACATAGCTCTGGATGGCCTGGAACTGGATATGGTAGACCAGACTAGCCCCAAAACTCATAGAGATCTCCCTGCCTCTGCCTCCCTGGTACTAGGATTGAAGTCATGCATCCCCATGTCCAGCAAGATTCTTTACTCTTTATTTTCACATGTATGCAATGCCTGTGGGAAAAGTAATCCACTATGGAGAGAATACAAAAGATAATTTTTGCTTTAAAGATTTTCTGATCGAATCAGCACACAGGCATGTGCATAAACTCATTTCAACAATGGAAAAAAAAAGCCATGTAGTCAGACAGCTAGGCCCACACACTATCTCCTGCTTCAGCGCTCACTCTGGAGACAAGAATGTGAGGTTAGCACCGCAACTGAAGATTTCCACCGTAAACACTGAACCTCCTCTGATCTTAAAGTTCTGAACACCGAGGTTTGTTTGTTTTTTCTTTTTTTAACTGTGATATTGGCCCATGGAGAGCAGATAAAGGAGATGAAGGAGAAGGTTCACACACACCGGGATGAAGGTTCAGGGCATGAACACAACTTGACTCTTCTGGATGGAATGTAAAATCTTACAGAAATGGAGCTGCCCAAATCTCTTGAATGGGTCCAAAGGTAACCTGGCTTATCCTAGAAGGGGACAGCATTGTTATCTTTATTTTATTGATAAAGAAACAGAGACACAGAAGTTAGACTTACTTGTTCAAGGTCCACAGATAGTAACAGAGGGGGATAGGTTAAAATTCAACTGTCTTGAGCATCCCACTTCCTGACCACTGTGCTTACTAATTTTCAGCCAAATATCTCACGAAACCCTCTTCATGGCTTCTTGGGAGTTTGCTTCCTTGTTTTAGGCTCCTGACATTGTCCCCTGCAGTATGGCTTTCCCTTGTCTGTGCAGCACCTCACCTCACATCTCTATATTCCCGGACCTCCAAATAGCAGGTCAAGATTAGTTTTTGCAAGAATGGTACAATCAAAACCTAGGGTTCATAGAGTAAGGGAGGGGAACCATGGAGGAGGCTGGAGGAGCGACACAAGCATTCTCAAGAGCAAAAAGAAATAGATGAGCAGTCCTGGTGAGGGATGAGAAAAATACACATGAAGAAAGCAGACTAGGAAAGACTTCCCCCAGGTGTGTCCCTAGTGATAATGGGCATCTGCATGTCACTGTTAATTTTGTAAGCACAACAGACTGAGATCAGCCAACAGCAACGCTGTTGCGTGCTGTGAGAGTGCAGTGTGCTCTCTACACAGCCAACTCCTCCATGGGCACCAAATCCTGGTGAAGGGTGTACTGGATGGAGAACTTCAGTCTGGAAGGAAACTCAAAACCATACAAAATACCCCTTCTACTACGAACTGAGACGGCAATGCGCTCACCTGAGACTTCCCTTCCCTTTTCTCTGGAGCCATGGTCTCTTTCTGGGCTTTTCTCAAAGATGGGTACAGTGTCCAAAAAAGTGATCTGAGAGAAGAAGAAAAAGGAAAGATTGCTTCGCACCCCTCAGAAACCGCATCTCCGAATGCATTCCACCAGCTGAGCCTGCCTCTTCTGCTTCCAGAGTGGAAAGCGGGAGCTGGGAGTGGGCATCAGAGAATTGACAAGTCACCACTCTTCTGGTCTCTGGATTTCCAGAAACAAGACTCAGGCGACACTGGACTCCATCACTGAGGAGACTCACTATGCCTCTGTGAGTCAGGCATCATCCTATGAATGTTCCAGCTCAGCTGGCATTGCCAGGCCCCCTTCAGATCAGGAAACTGAGGCCAGAGTGCAGCCACAGTGGGGACACAAACGTTTTCCACCCGTTCAGATCTGACCACGGGCCCACTCCACGTGCTGCCCACCCACATGCCCTGCTGCTGTCAAGGGGTCAACTTCCACATCCCCAGAGAAAACTCCAGAAAGGGGACCAGTGGCTCATGACGGCCCATGCTGGAGTCGCCACAGGCCTCCGTGTCCTCGAGCCTGGCGGCTCACCTCCCCCCAGCTCCCGCCACGCCTCATGAAGGCTCGCAGTCACCATGCATGGAGACTCAGACCGGGTAGCTAGCCCAGAGCAGCGAATCGCGCCTCAGACACTCCACGGCCTGATGAAGCTCACAGTGGGCGGGGCTGGGGAGGGTTTGAGCATGGTGACGCAGAGGCCTCTGGGAAATGTAGTTTACCCCGGGACTCAAGGATTCTGGGATATAAAGTTGACAGCTCTGGTGCGCAGCTGCAGTGGAGAGCCCCACCCCACTCCCAAACCCCCAAAGGCTCAGGGTTCATCAGCTCTGAGAAATCTTAGATGTGGAGTACACTGTAATTCCATTTGTGTGGATGGTGGTAAGGCTGTGGAAATAATTATATATTTATTGACTTAGACTCAGAGGGTGTTACAGGAAAAAGCAAAAGAAGTGCCGGCTAGTTGAAACCTGGGGCTCTGGGATTTAAAATAAAAATGAATGGATGGATGGATGGATGGATGGATGGATGGATGGATGGATGGATGGAGAATTATAGATGAAGACACATGATATCAACCTCTGGTCTGAGTACAATGTACAACACACACACGCAAACCTGGGGCTCCGGGATTTAAAATACAAATGAATGAATGAATGAAGAATAAATTATAGATGAAGACACCTGATATCAACTTCTGGTCTGAGTACAGTGTACAACACACACACACACACACACACACACACACACACACACACCTGAGATTTTCTGAGATTCTGGAGGAGAAAAGACCAAGTCCACTATTGTCCAATTAAAGCTAGATGTATTTTGGGTGCACCTGAGGCTAGCCAGTTGGCTACCTCATTCTAAGTTGGCATTTGAGAGAGAGCAGACCCCTCGGGCTATTGAAATCTGGACCCCCTTTTAAAATTTTTTTATTGATTCCTTGTGAGTTTCATATCATGCATCCTAGTCCTTCCTGCTCATCTCCCCATCCCCTCATATCTATCTGCTCCTCACCCTTGCAACCTCCCCCAAAACACACACACACACACACACACACACACACACACACACACACAAAGAAGGCATAGAAAATATCACTGTGGAAGCTGTAATACGTCACAGTGTGTCCCATATTCTATCCCTCTGTCCACATATCTTCACCTGCAAATATTTACTGCAGTGAGACATTGGTCTGGTTCAAGATCTCAGGCTTCTGTGACATCATCAATATTAGACCCTCACTGGGACTCCTCCCAGTTATCCTGTTGTTGTCCTGTGTGATGGAGATCCTGCAGCTTTGGATCAGCAGGTCCGGCCCTTTCACGTGCCCCAACAATTCACACATGGTACAGATTTTAGGGTGGGCCAACTCAGAGCCCTGGATCTGGGCCTGGGTGGCAGCTGAGCTGGTCATCTCGAAGCTGTCCCTTATCTGAACCACCCAGGAAAGAGAAAGGAGCGTCTTTGAGTTGAAGGGTATTTAACAGCACGAAGAAGCCTTTCCCTTCTGGGATGTTGATGATGTAGGAAGGTCAGCTGGGTCAGTTCTCTTCCAGCAGCCTTTCACCACAGCATCTGGCTCCTGAGTCTTCATTTGATAAATTGAACATTTGGGATTTCGTTTTAAAAACAACACTGAGTTGAACAAATAGAGTTCATCATGACCACTCATCTTAAATTTGGCATCTGCATTTCCCTACTAATAGATTAACAATGTCAAATCTTTTTTTTAAAAAAAGATTTATTTATTTTGAGTACAGTCACTCTCTTCAGATACACCAGAAGAGGGCATCAGATCGCACTGCAGATGGTTGTGAGCCACCATGTGGTTACTGGGAATTGAACTCAGGACCTCTGGAAGAGCAGTCAGTGCTCTTAACCACTGAGCCATCTCTCAGCCCAATGTCAAATCTTTGACATGAAATATATGCCCTTCCATTGGGAGTAATTTAAAGCTGGGCAGGGGCAATGTGCAAAGTCCAAAGTCTCCTTTGTATTTCTTTCTACTTCACTTGCTCTTTTACTAGACCTGTATAGGAGTGATTACTGATAACCACGCGACACAACCAATATTAAGGGCTCTTGGAATGTTCTTCTTCAACAAAATTAATCTATTGCTTTTAAATTTAGCCTTGGGCATGTTCTTTGGACAAGGGTTGAAAAGAGCCACATTCTTTACCAAAATATCACAAGAATGGTCTCTAGCCCAGTTGCTGAAATTATTTCCCTCTGAAGCCTCTTGAGCTGGGCCTTCATAGTCCACATTGCTCTCAGTGCTATTTTCTCTCAAGATTCAACTAGGCTGGCCCAATAAGCTCTACTCACAGCATTCAAGCACCCTTTGATTCCAGAGTCCCAAAGTCTTCTTCCTTCCTCCAGAAAATCCCACATGGTCAGGTTACTAGGCCCACTCCTCTAAGCCTCCCCAAACACCACCACCCTAGAACCAAGCATTCAAATGCCAGAGACTACAGTGAGAACCCAAGACATCATTCACATCACTACAGATATCTTGAGATTAGTCTATGAAATATTGGCCAACACCTTTGTTACATAACCCGCTTGAAGCTGAATTTGCTGGGAAGAAGCACACTTGTTAACATTGACAGAACAAAAAAAAATGCTAGCAAAATAAGAAATTGTAGAGGGGTGAGGATACTTATATCATGACCATGCCCTTCCAGCAATGATTTGTAAAGCTGTCTATGAGAAGAAAGAACAGAAGATTTGGCATGAGAAAAGATTTGGCCATTAGGGAAGAGAAGGAAGTTGTGTCAAGGCAGTGGTTGGCAGAGGATTTGCGCTAGCATTAAGTGTTATGGTTATGGTTATGCTCTCTTGTTATGGTTGCTGTGATAAGACACCACAGCCAAAACAACCTGGAGAGGAAAGAGTTTATTTCATTCTGTAGTTCCACACCACAGTCCATCACTGAAGCAAATCAGATCAAGAACTCAGGGCAGAAACCTGGAGGCAGGAGCTGATGCAGAAGCCATGGAAGAATGCTGCTTACTGGCTTGCTCCCCATGGCTTGCTCAGCCTACTTTTTGTTAGTATCAAAGGCCAGCAGCCAAGGGGTGGCACCATTCACAGTGAGGTGGGCTCTCCCTCGTCAATCAGCAATCAAGAAAATGCTCCATGGACTTACTTGAAGGTCAACCTATAGGGGGCATTTTCTCAGTTGAGGTTCCTTCTTCCCAAATGAATCTAGCCTATGTCACGTTGACATAAAACTAGCCAGCACACAAGTGAAGTGAAAGACTTCTGGTTTCTTTTTAAAAAGTCAGCTATGTCAAAAGATATTTTCCTGAAGCAGACACAGGTAAAAGAATGTTTTGCTAAAACAGACACACGAAGGAACATTTCCCTGAAGCGAATACAGGTGAGAGGATGCTTCACTAAGGCAGACATGTAATGGATCGTCTCACCAAAGCAGACACAGGTGAAAGGATATTTTACTGTAGCAAACATGTAAAAACACACGTGATGAAAGGTTCTTTACTAACCACACACATATGTTAGTTCGCCTTACATTGCATAGCTGAGTTCCGTTTATAATGACTCCATAGAGAAAAACACACCAAAAGACTTCTGGTAGCATTCTTGTGATGTCTTGTTGCTTCCACAGACTTGAGCTGATTGACAGAGTGACGTCAGCTGATACAGACTCACACAGAGTTTTACTAAGACAGACTCACACACTGAGACAAGACCTTTAGAGGACAGGTAATGTTTAGGGGGGGTATGAGTCAACAGACAGAGACGGGGGCTTACTTGCATGGCTACCTTTACGATGCTTCATTGGTCTCACATCTCCGTCTTCACTGATGTTCACTCCATGGAGAGATGCATGGCAAAGAACCTCTCCTGGCATCCCTATTGGTTCTGGTCGCTCCAGCTGACTCGGGCGGAGGCCCCCCGGCTGTGTCTGCTGGGTCATGCTACCACCGCTGCTGACTCATGTTTGCTATTCCAACACTACTAACCTGGACTGCTTGTATATTCACGACATGTTTGTGAGTGGATCGAGCTGCTGCTGACTGCTATGAAGTAAACTACTGACTTCCTGACAACACAGACTAGATTCGCTCCAAAGACCAATTTCTAAACAGATCCACTTCCCCTGTATCCTAATAACCTTTCTTTCCCACTACCTCTGGTGGGTGGTGGACTAGAAGAGAGGTTAAAAACCCTTATTAAAAATAAGATTTTAAAAATCTAAGCTACACACAAGCTATCTGGCATTTGGATAATTCTAAAATCAAGAACTACATCAGTCTGTAAGTTTATTTTTCTGGTATTGGTGGTCCCTGAGTTCCTTTCTTCTTATTCATTTATTCTTTGGAAACTCCATATATGAATACAATATAGTTTGATAATAACCAACTTCCTCTTCCAACAGTACAGTTGATAGAAAGGTAAGGGTCTGGAACTTATCACAACAGGAGACCCAGCTCCA